ATATTGTGTCCATCCTGATTATAGCAAATAAAATGTGTAATCCGAAGCACTTGTCAATGATCTTCACATAAACAGAACCAAATGATAAAAAAATATATATACTTGATTGTTCATTGCAGATGCAAGGTCTTATTTTTTAATGTTATACACTTAAAAAGTTCTTCTCGAGTAATACTAGTACATCTAAAAGATCCCTATGTTTTATCACTGATGTATTTGATTTACTATACACACACACAGGGAACTTATTCTAAATAGAAAATGCTCCAATATTTGATTCACACCAGTGATTACCAGTGGTATAACCCAGAATATCATCAACCCAGGCTACAACCAGAACTCAGGATATTCACCATCATATGTAGCACTTTTTTAGTTAACAAATTCAAAGCCATTCATCTTGAATATAAAAATTTACAAATCTCCATCACTTTCACTTTATCTCAGTGTGAGTTAATTTGATATTCACCTGAAGCCATTATTTGCTATATTGTTTTGTCCTCATCTTCCCCACATCAACTAAATTGTTAGCTTATTTTCTAGATCTACAATAAAAATATAAATGTCTTTAATTTGCTACATCGAAATTTGTAAAAGCATCAAGATGTATGACAGTTGAAACGGATACTTTCTTTGCTATGATAGATTAAACTACAATTATGTTTAAACCATTTACTCTCTGCATACAGATGACACCGTGCATATCCCATAACTACTAGCCAGCTTGATTACATGGACAAAACACTATATTTGAAAATAGAGATTGCTTCTTTTGTTCTTCCAGTATCCAAAGTAGTGAAAATATTTATAATAGCAGTATATTAACATACTAGGTGGCGCAGCATATCCATCACAAATGTTCAAATGCTTTCTAGTCTTGCAACCAATATTATCAAAGAGGATCCACTCAGATACACTACACAACAGCACAATGTTGGCTTACACTTCTCCTAGATCCTCAACAATCATCTACAGATTTCCCATCCATAGGACTTCCTGTTTCAGAGTAAATAGTAATCTTATAACAATGGAGCCAATAAAACAAAAAGCAAATACAGTAAAACTGCTAGCAATTTTCAGGGTAGTGAGAACTGTGCCGTGTGACAAAACATAAACCTTGTTCCAAACATCTTGTTTCGTATATTAATACTGAGGACTGAACTTGGCTAATGAAAGATATTTTATAATCTGAATTTATGATTTCAGTATGTTTGAGGGCTTATATAATATTCATAGTAAAAACAACAGAATCATAGAAAGTATTTAAGAACTTTCTTTAGTTCCCCACATAGATGTTATGAAAACACTAACAAGAAAGGAATTAGATAAAAAGCCATATGAAATTCATTTAAATAATACAATGGATGGTTTGTGGAAGTTATGAAATATCAATCCTTGCAAACAAGCAATGTGTGATTTATGTCTTTGTGATGATTTTTTTAAAATTTGATAACAACCCAGACACAAAGGGTTAGATTTGTTTTTATCCCAATACGGGTTGTTTATTATACACAATGTTAAGTTCTGTTCCTTACTTCTAATCTTAATGCTAATTCTATGCTTATCTATTTCCTATTTATTGTCTTACTACCTATCTAGTCTAGGACCTTCTTATTACTGAAGGAACTCTATCTCTATGTTCTATGTCTATATTCTTATCTGTACATTTGTCACTCAACATTTTCCTATTTTAACTATTTCCTAGCTCTTTGAGGCTTTTTTATTTCCTCAAATCTTAAACTGTTGCAGTCAAGCTCAATCCTTGTGTATTTGGAAATCCCAATCTGAAAACAGGTGAATTTATCTTTCTACATTCTTTCAGTAGTCATTATTCTAAAGATTGATTATTCTGAAGATTATCAGAGCTGGCAAGCCAGTGTAATATGGTTTGATTCTATGCCACAAATCTAATTGGATAAGATGCTTGGAGTTGTGAAGATCTGGGTAGGAAACACAGGTTCAATACCAGCAAATATGATATGGGTTCCAAACACAGTTGTCACCAGACTATATATATACATATATATAATCTTAAACTGAAGATCCTTTGCTCCTGATTGAGGAGCAGATGACAGGAAGTGACAGTGACTTAAGTCAGGGCTTTTCAATCTTTTCACCCATTTTACCACTTTTAGGATATGGCAATATCCGAGTACCACCAGTTGCCTAGCAAGGTGTCAAAAACTTGATGACCAAAAAAAAAAGGAAAAAAGTGATAAAGTACAGGTAGTCCTCGACTTACAACAGTTTGCTTAGTGACTGTTCGAAGTTACAATGGCACTGAAAAAAGTGCCCCCCAACCTACAGCCGAGCAAGACACCTGCCTGCTCACCAGGCGGCACTCTTCCTCCTGCCCGAGGTTTTCATTGTTGTGAGCATTTCTGTTAAGTATTGGCAGCGGGGGTGGGGTGGGGGGGGTGTTTGGTTTTATTCCCCCCGTCTGCTGGGTGGTTGCAGCAGGGTCACTTCACATGACCCTGGGACACTGTGACCGTCATAAATATGAATCAGTTGCCAAGCATCTGAATGTAAATCACAAGACCCTGGAGATGCTGCAACATTCCAGCTGATCGGCGCTTCTTCTGGGTTCAGCAGAAGCGCCAGGATCAGCACTGAGTTCCAGCTGGAGCCTGGCGCTGATCCTGGTGCTTCCACTGAGCCCTGACAGCCCCGAAGAAGCACTGATCCTGGCACTTCTGATGGGCCCTGACAGCCCTGCAGCTCCAGCCGTCTCTCGCTCAGGCTTGTGCGGTCCTGCCACCAGTTCAGCTCATTCCCCTCCCCTGCTACCACTTTTCTAGGATGGTCGCGTACCACCTGCCAGGTGCCAATTTACCACAGCTGGTACCCGTACCACTGGTTGAAAAGCCCTGACGTAAGTAGTTAAAACAGCTTCACATTTGCCCAAGTAACACCACTATTGTGAGAGCTACACTAATAAATTGGTTTTTAAGTGCAATTCAAGCTGCTGGTTGTCCTCTTGTAATCCCTGCATGGCTCAGGGACTAATTATTTGTAGGATTATGTTTTCCCAATGCTTTCTTTTTTGTACAATGCAATCTAGTAGAGGTTTGAGTCCTTTGAGCCCCAACTTTGAAGAACTGTTGTCACCAGGAGCATGAGGGTGTGCTTTTCTAGTTACCACTCATCCTCTTCAAAAGAACACTCCACTCAAGATCAGATCAGACCAATCCTGATGGCCCTGGCTGTTCCAGAGAGACTTTGGGGATCACTGACAGATGGATCTCATCTTTGCATTTGGCTATGGGTCTTATTGTGGTAGTTCTCCCTCAATGTGAAGACACAGGAGAAAGTGTTATGTTATTGGTTTTTATTTTATCTCTTATATTCTTTGTAAGCTGCTTACAGCCTATTTTGGAATAGAGGGGTATATAAATTTCAGAAATAAGCTGAGCTACAGATGGGTGTTTATGAATCAAATTGTACTTTTGTCCTACATTTTTACAGTAGTACTCCATTTTTCTGCATTGATAGGAACCATTGATAGGAGGTAGAGGCTAGGCTAGCTTAGATGCAAAAGAAGCTACTTCAGTAACTGAAGTGGTCCTGCCTTCCCATACAAATCTACTTTACTTTCTACCATATGTCTTGTTTCCAAAACTTCTGAACAGAGTGATCTATGCTCCATACAATATCATACTTGTAAAGCTGGACTGATTCGCAAGAAATACGTGAACTGTACATTTGCCAAAGTATTTTTGTTAACCCACAAAACTTAAAAGGATCCATTTGCTGTTATGCCTTAATCACACAGAACAGGACTATAAGCTCATTTGACCTTGGGAAGGTATAAAAATCACAGGGAAGAAGGGGGAAAAATTATCATTTTAGAATCCATCCTTAGTAAATTTCTTTTCTGACTACATTTGAAATATCCAAGAAACATTTTGATGAAGAATTAACATTTTAGTAAATCACAGAAATAAAAATATATAGGCTTTGTTTCTTTCACATCCTCAGCCATGGATATTTTCACCCAGTTTCATCAATATCACTCACTTAGGAATTTTGGTATATTTAAAACTGTTTGTGTACACTTGCATGCATAATTTATTACACAAACCAAGAATTTTTCATTGGATTTCAGTTTTGTATCTCAGACTTGCCTCCGGTGTGTTAGAAGGTAGTGAAAACACCAAGACATTTGGAGAAGAAATAAAAAAAATTACCAACATTAATAGCAATAGCACTTAGACGTATATGCTGCTTCATAGCGCTTTGCAGCCCTCTCTAAGTGGTTTACAGCAGGGCTTTTCAATCTTTTCACCCATTGTACCACTTTTAGGATATGGCAATATCCGAGTACCACCAATTACCTAGCAAGGTGTCAAAAACTTGATGACCCCCCCCCAAAAAAGGAAAAAAGTGATAAAGTACAGGTAGTCCTCGACTTACAACAGTTCGCTTAGTGACTGTTCGAAGTTACAATGGCACTGAAAAAAGTGCCCCCCAAGCTACAGCTGAACAAGACACCTGCCTGCCCACCGGTGGCGCTCTTCCTCCTGTCCGAGGTTTTCATTGTTGTGAGCATTTCTGTTGAGGATTGGCAGCAGGGGTGGGGTGGGGGTTTGTTTGGTTTTTATTCCCCCCATCTGCTAGGTGGTTGCAGCAGGTTTTGGTCACTTCACATGACCCTGGGACACTGTGACCATCATAAATATGAATCAGTTG